CTACAATACGCAAATGTTAATTATGTATCATAAAACATAAGTGCAGTTAGCACAATTACGTAATGTTGCGAAAGAAAAACGTACATATGTACATATATACCGTTCAATCAAGCAAACATACAAAATAATATAAAAAAAAACGAAAATAGTAAATAAATACATACATAAATATGTTAGTTTACAATATTTGAATTAATTAAGTAAAATATTTATTTAGTTATTTCAAAAATTACAATTCATGTTATTTGTACAATATCGTAAAAATAAAATTTTAAAACCTAAAAATCTGCGGAACATTTAATTAAATTTTTAATTTTTTTTTTTTTTTGTGAGTTTGGTATCTTTCTGGCCAACGGATAAGACTATTTCTTATTCCGATAATTTTTTTGTCAAAAATACGCTTTCCCTCGAAAATAGTACATAAGTACTAAATTGTATAGGTAAATAGATATTCCAACTGAGTAGGAGTATGGTGTATTGTGGAGCGATTTTCCGTCATCTCAAAATAGAACAACGCCGAAACCAGTTCGTATTTCAACCAAATTTTTTTATTTTTATTTTATTTTATTTTTTTTTTTATTGCGCTGGAATACAAAACCGAGCCACTCACCTGGAGGCGAGATTTTATAACCGCAATCGATCTTATGGTGTAAGTACGATACTTCGGATCTTTTTGGCAATAAAATGAAAATCATCTTGATTATAAACTAACAAAATTGAGATTCCTTGACGTAAATAAGTGTGCTTTAAGCCGAACCTAGGGGTATCTATACTTTAAAATTTTTCCGGACACCTACATTGGGCATTTAAAAACATTTCAAAAAGTTCTACTGGAATATTCAAATACGAGATTTAAATTACTGACATTAGGGTGGTACTAAATGAGGTCTGGTGGGTAAGTACTAAAACGGCGTACTTGAGGTCAATAAACTTTGGAACAAACGAAATTGTCTCCTAGAGACAAAAATATCGATATATCATACATTAAGATCCGACTGTAAATGCCGAAGATTTGACGAAAAATGTAAAACGTCGACCCAACCCCTAAGTTCGTAAAAAAAAAAAACATTACAAATTGCCTTCAAATGAAAACACTTCTTTAGAAAAAGTATACTTATTTTTGGAGAGCTTTAATTTACTGACATTAGGGTGGTTGGAACTGAGATCTTTTGGGTAACTACTAAAACGGCGTACCAGAGGTCAATGAACTTTCGAACAAACGAAGTTGTCTCCTCAAGTTGAAAACATCGATATATCGCATACGACACAACTCAAAAATTGGCATTTTTCAAAATTATGCACTAAAAATGTGCACAGAGCTTTTATTTATCTTTCAGCAAAAGACGGAGCAAATCTATGTTATAATTTGTTGAAAAAAAACCTAAGGTAAAGTCTCCCTTGCCCATATGATTAGCATGTGCTAAGAAATAAATTTTCGCATTTTCTGACAAACGTAACTTTGAGTTGTGTCACCTTCGAAGATCGTGTGCGATATCATGCTTTACGATCCGACTTTAAATACCGAAGACTTTACGAACAATAAAAAAAAACGACTTCTAAGCTCGGTAAAAAAAATGTTCGATTACTTTAGACTCTGGGGGTGTGTGCCGAATTTGTTTCTGGTATGGTCTTATTTATGTATATATTTATGTATGTATATATATCTACATGTATATATCATTTCCCTTTAAATTTTGTGCGAACATAGCCACATTAGGCACGACCGCGGAAGCTAAATATTATATTAGAAAACTATTACAAGGTTCATTTTAGTGTAGTCTGACGGGAATGAAAAATGTTAAAGCGATAGTGCTCTAGAATAAATTATTTCATTACTAGCATGCATCTCAATACCAAAAAATCTCACAAAATATTTACCCTTGAGTACTTCTTCGTTAATTGCAGTATTCAAATTAAATATAGAGTATATTACTAATTTCACGTCTGCTTAATTACATTTACTTAGAGCCTTTAAATTAGAACATGATTTTTTAACGAGTTTCTAGCGTCACCACTAGTAATATTTTTTTTGTCTTATTTGGAATAGTACAACTGATTTGCATTAGTTTGGTTTTTTCGTGATTTCTGGTTTTACTTGTTTTCACTTTGACATATATATTTAAAAAAAATCATTTGTCCGATTTTTCTTGCTATATTTTTACAGCCCATACATAGAGTTGGTACCAATTTTCAAGATGTTCATTGACTTACCAATTTACTGATGGGCGTTTGTCACAGTGAAAACTAACCCTTATAGCATGGACAGACGGCAGCGTTAATCCGGATAAACTCGTTAATTCTGAATTATCTCGGGAATTAACTGCAATTATCCGAATCCGAATTAATCCGAATTAACGCTGTAAGCCATTCAAATTATTTTATAAAGTCTACATACATAGTAATTTATATCACTCAAGTGTTAGTTCACAAGGGATTGTGTTAAGGTTTCTTCAAAATACTATAATAGCTTTGCATTTTTGTCACCATATAAAAATGTTACACATTGCTTATTATTTTACACCAATTTTTTTTTTAATCGTACGTTCCAACCGATTAGTTTACATTAATGTTTGAAATTAAGGAATTTTTCAAATTCTTTTTTGTACACAAAAATATTGGCGCGTAATTGCAGATTAAATGAAAACAGGTTTTCACAATTAAAAGTACGCTTCAGATTCGAAAAATACTATTAAGTCTCTTCTGAACATTTGAGTATAAAGTATTTTTGCAAGACAATGTGGGAAAAAATTTGTTTGGCGACAACTAAGGCTTTTTAAACGACTTCCAAAAAAGGAGGAGGTTATCAATTCGTCGGAATATATATTTTTCTTTTTTTATGTATGTTACTGCATAACTTTCGACCATGTCAACCAATTTCGAAAGTTCTTTTTGCATCGGAAAGGTAGTGCCTCAGAGGTGATCCCTGGTTTAAATCCGATCATTGGATCATGAAAAATTAACGGCACTCCTAAATTTTTACATGAGATTTGAAGCCGGTTTTGTTATTTGCTTAAAATTTACTTGTTAAATTTTTCGATGACAACAAATTTCGGCAATACATTTTTTTTTTTATATAAAGACCTCTCGGAATAATCGAAATACTTCCTTAGCGAGAGTGTAATGATTTTGGCGAGCCTTAATTACCGGTCTTGAGGGTGGTACGGCAATTTTTTTTTTTTTTCAAGTTGCCTTACAAAAAATACTTTAGATTCGAAGGTGTACGGCGAAGGTTTTATTTTCTGGTACGGCCTAATGTTTAGGCATCTGTTAATTAGTACATTTTACCTACCGAAAATTTTAAAGTACTGTTAAAAATATAAATTATATGTATTAAACTAAGTAATACTTTCCTCTTTAAATTATTTCGTTCAAATATTCAAGGTTCAACTCTATTTTATCACAATTTCTTTCAATCTTAAAAAATATGCATTGATATTCGCATTGTTTTTGTCAAGCTAACTAAATACATATTTGATATACGCATGTACATTAAAGTGCACCTCCCTCCATACAAAAAAAAAAAAAAAATGGTGCTGCTTTCCCATCGGAAATATAAAATTTACATATTATATTTTAAGATCTCCGCAAAACATTTTGGAAAAATATTAAGATTTACTATTGAAAATACCTCCAGAGCTATTTGAAAATACCTCCAGAAATTGAGTTTTTTATAAACACCTCACCTCAGCTTAGCTTAGAAGCTCTGTATAAAAATATTAAAAAAAATTTGTCAACGGAATCAAAATAATGAGAAATTTGTAGGTCACATCGGAATATTTTGGCGGAAGTCTTAAAATATAATAAATTTTATAATTCCGGCGGAAAACCCGCAACTTTTTTGGTGGTGCACCCTAATGTATATTTGTGACAGAGTTTGCTTGTAAATACAATAAATTAAAATGCTTATGATAACTTTACGACTCTCACATATCTATTCAGATGTTTCCACATTTTTTTTTTTAATTTAATTTTTTTATTCTTTAAAAAATCAATTCTTGCGCAGTAATTTAAAAAAAAAACTCAAAAATCTTTTTATTTTTTAACAAATCAATTCTTGCGCAATAATAAAAAAATCAAAAATCTTTCGTGAAAATGTCGAGCCATTTAGTAAGACTTCTTAGAAATATTTTGAGTATCTTTTATAAAAAAATAATTAAAATAATAGTCAAAACTTAACAATATGTGAGTGTCGAAAAGTTATGATAAGCACCTTCATATACATACATATGTATGCACTATGTACTTCTAAAATTGCAAATGTCGACATTTGTCTTTCTTACTAAATAGCCTTACAAAATATCTATTTTTAGTGGAGTTATTAAAAATTGTAAATGTCTCTTTGACATTTTATAAAAACATGTGAGAATCTGATTATGTACTGAAAACATTAGGGATGTCCAAAAACCGCTGAAACAGTTTCAAATTGAGACAAAAAATTTAAATTAATAAAAAAAAAACTAGACTAAAAAAGAAAATTAAATTTTTTTAGTGGCCTCATCTGAATGTATCTAAGATTTCTTCATGCGGTTTAGTCTCCGAGAGTCAAATAATCAATTTTGCTCGTTATCTGGTACATTATTAATTTCATGGAGACCAACACATAATGGCGCATCTACTTAAAAATTTTCATTACATTTATACAAAAAAAAACTGGGGTAAAGCACTAAATAAATTTAGAAAATTATTCACCGAAATTTAGACACCCCTAATGTTCACAGCTTTTTACTTATCAACAGTATAACTACATATATTTTATTAGTAACAATTTCTCTAGTAAATATTTAAATTTTTAGTACAATTTAACTAACTACTGGAAAGTTGGAGTTAAGTTTAAAAAGCGTGGAAAAAACAGCTCAAGACTCTTTCGCACCCCACGAATCGGTTTCGTGGTATATGCGCATTATGTGGTCTCGCAAGAGCTTCGTTTTCTCTGAAAAGATTAGTATTCGTAATTTGTCTGCAGTTAGTTTGAGAAAGAAATAAAAAATAACCGAACTTACCCTTTGATAAATTATGGCTTGCCGTTGCCGATTGTTTCTTCAAAAATTCTAGGCACATATCTTGAGGTAGGCCCAATGAGTGCATATTGCATGTAAAGGCCCTGGAAAATAAGTTTTATATTAGAAAATGTTTCTTCCACTTCATCTTCCGCTTACCCCAGTTGTCGAAACACAATATTCTCGATGGAGTGCGGATCGAGCTGCTGCTGCTTTCCAGTGGCAGCTGCAGCGCTTAAAGAACCACCAACTAAAGCTGTCGTCTCCGCTGAAACTCCGCCACCGCCACCGACACCGCCAGAGGTATCTTCAGCACTTGTCTGTGAAGCAGATTTCTTAACCGCGTGCACCTTTAAGGCGACAATATTGCCACGATGTGAGGAACTGGACGTAGAAGCGTGTTCCCCATCAACAATTGCACCAGCGCCAGCCCCATCCGTTGGCGCCTCGTCCACCGTCGCTGCCTCTACTGAACTCTGCTCTTTCAATTTCGCCTCTTCTGCGGACTTTGCTGCGAATTGTGCTTTGTTGCGCTGTTTCTTTTCGGCACGACGCTTACGCATGTCCAACCGATGTTCACGCTCACTTTGCACAGCCTCGAAGAAAGCGGCACCCCAAAAGCGCTGACTATACCAGATCGGCTGGCGGCGCATATAGGTGAAGAGGTACTGACGATACGTATCACAGCCTGGAACTTCAACTGCAAAAATAGCGGAAAGAAGAGGTAAGTTGTAATTACATATAAAAATTCCTTCCGACACACGATCTTACTCACTTTCATTGTAGAACATAAAACAAATATTCATAATAACCGCAGCCGGTGCGTAATCCTCGCACTCGCCGCACTCGAACAAGACAATAGCGAAGTATTGCACCAACGAATGGAAGGTCACCTCGTCTACACGCTTCGATTTGGATTTCTGCTCGAGCAGAAATCGCGTGAACCACTGTCGTCCCGCATCGATGCGCGCCAGGGCGCCGAACTCTGCCTTCAGTTCTAGCCCAATGGCCGAGGCGTTGCTAAAGATCACCTCAATGAAACGTTTCATGAACTCCTTCACCGGCTCCTCGCCCACGCGACAATCCAAACTGATGGACGATGCCCACGATGGCACCGAATTTTGTGACTCTGAACGTATGAAATTGCGCCAGTCCGTGGACTCAATGCTCGGACTGATTTGCACATCGGGATCGTCTCGCAGGCTGGTTACAGTGCTGCTATTTGAGTTGCGACTGCGTGGTGGCACCACCATGCTAGTGCCTGACTGGGTCATGGCTGGCAAATCCATGTGCAAGTGTGTGGGGTGTTGCAGGCGATGCTCGTTGGCGCCGCCATTGTTGTTGCCGCATTCACGATCCGAGGGCGGTTGTACATCGATATGCGGAGCACCAGCGTTTGCATTTGGTGCTGCTGCGGCCGCGGCATTGACACTCAGTATATCAGTGATGCGTGACAAGTCTCTCTGTATGTCGAGTTCGCTGCGTCGCGCGCCCGGTATAGCACGTCCAGGGCGTCCGTAGCCACCGGAGTGACGTGACTCAATTGAATTTGAGCGTGTTGTGCTACTCACATGCGAACGATTGACGGGCGGTGAGTATGAAGACGATGTGGAACTGGAAGTTGAGGAACTCGAAGCGGAACGTCGTATTTTATCGCGTGCGCTGCTGCGTGTGGCCTCCAAGCGGGGTCCTGCGAGAAGGCGGCACATATTGTTATGGTTCTATAAAAATTGGCGGACCACTTTAAGCTTACTTGGTAAAAGGTTGGGATAGCGAAACCGTCCTGATATGATCTCTTCATGCGCTCGTCGCGCCTTAATACGCCGAAACTCGTAATCGATTTTCGTGTAATCGATTGTTTCGTCAACTGTGAAAATATCGAAATGCTCATAAAATATTTGAATAAATTAATTGGAATTTTTTCTTGGTATTCACACCACTTACAAGTAGGAACCTCTTCATCGTCATCGCAATACTCCGATTCGCTGGAGCTGATGCTTAGTGTGAGCTGAAAAAATTTGTAGGTGGAAGTTATTCTCGGTTCCAAAGATGGTTCGTATGGATCAAATAGGTATGTCAGAAAATAAGTTGCCTACGGCTGGCAATCCTGCTCATGAAAAGAAGATACAACGCTCGAGTCGGAAGCACTCAATAACTCCCACACCGAATTAAATGAACTGGTCTTATTTCTTGCACTTAACTCTCAGACTTTAAAAGCTTTTTAAGCAAAGCAATACATCTATTTCCCTGAGTTTACTCTTCGTTTCTTCCCCTAGAATCCTCCTTGGAACGCAAACGGCTTTTCAAAACATTATCTATTAATAAAAGTGTTCAACATTTCACTGTTAAGAGCTACTTTCCAACACCAGAATACAAGGGCGTAGCTAGAGATGAGCTATGGGGGCCAATCTATCTATCTATGGGACTCACCCATAAAAAAATTTGCTGTAGTCGAAGTAAAAGCGGCAATTAAAATCCTAAAACTCAAACACCTGGCTGTGACCTAACTACGACCTAGAGCGGCCTTTCTCGATATCTCATAAGCCTTCTACGGAGTCTGGCACGATGGGCTATTCAGTCCTATCCATCAAATTGGTATTTCTTTGTTAATAATGGAATGGAACAGTCTGACCTTCATGACAGCACGGCAGGTGTACACAGAAGGCAGCGTCATGGTCCCCTACTATACTTACTCTGCACATACGACCTACCAGTAATAGAAGAAACCACCATTGGCACTTTTTCCGATGATACTTTTATTTTAGCAGTTGACGACTCACCCCAGAAAACAAAGCACTACTCTACTCTACAATCATAAAACCGATTTGGACTTACGGTACACAGCTGTGGCGAACAGCATCAAAGTTTAATTTTGAAAAACTCCAAAGATTCCAAAACTCTGAGGATGATTGTCAATGCACCATATTATGGCACAGATACCCATCTCCACCGCGATCTTAGATCCTCACCACCTCAGAAGAAACTAAAAAACAAGCTGTATCATACAACTTGAGGCTACTGAGTCACCCTAACCCACTCATAACAGAGTTAACATCCCACTCAAACATTTTTGCCCGATTTAAGAGAAAGTCAACAACAGATCTACTGCAATAATAATGCCTAGCTAAATACAAAAAAAGTACAAGAAACCTTATTCCCGAGACAAGTAATTTTGTTAACAACTCAGTCGTGTTTAAATCTTCAAAATAAGTTTAGCTTTAGACTGAGGCTTTTAAAGTATGCGCGCAGAGGCCATAAATACCCGAAGAAGGGCTTCTCCAATTTTTCTTTAAATCCATTTTTTACGAATCTAGTCACCTCATTAGGAAGAAGAAGTCAGTCCGAAAATGCAATCCGACAGAACTTTGGTTTACATAGGCTATCATAACATCACCTCAACTCGCTTAATTTGTTCTTTTGCATAGAAGAACAGAAAAGTTTGTCCCACTAACAAGCTTTCCCTTACCTCTTCCTTTTCCAATCCATCGAAGAAACCAATTTGGTGTTGTGGACTATACCTATATTGTCCAGGTTTTCGTAAAAGTGGCGGTCAAAAAATTGTTGGTCCTATTCACCGTCAAGCAACAGCTCGATCGCCTCAAAATTTACTATTAAAAAATTTTAAATGTGCTACTCTTAATTATGTAGTTTGCTATTAAAAACTTCAATCGGAGCACACAGATTGTAGGAAAATAAATGTTGGACGAATCCAGAATCAATCGATATAGATCTTCCGCAAATCTAAAAATGATTCCCTGGTTCTTAAAGAGCTTCTTTGAATTCGCAGAGAGCTGTGAGAGTATATCCCAAGCGCAACCAAGGTTATCCTAGAATTGCTTTGACAGGTGCTTAGGAGGATTCAGTCTAACTTTCTGACGAATCCACAAGCGTACTCATCAAGAAATTAAATCTACGAAAAGCAGATATTTTAATTATTAAAGCTTCACACAAAGAAAACAATGATTAAGAAAGGTTTCTACAACTCTATTACTATATGCCCTTCCTATGAAATTTTTTCATGACTTTCAAGATCGTTGAAAAATATTTTTCAGAAAAGCTGATCACAGCAGCGCAAATAAACGAGGCTTTTCCTTGTCGAGTCTTCGCTTCATTTGCCTTCCGTAACGATATAAGTTCTCCGATAGCCAATCAGCTTTTAGGTCATTGAGACACTGCGCAGCCTCGTCAAAAATTGCAATAGAATGCAGAAAAGCCCTTAATGAGTTAGCTTTGAAGTCTACTACCTCCATTGTGCGTTTGCAAGGTCACATACAAAGTAACTGAACAGCAGACGAGATTGCGGATCTAACGACAACGCTTCTAACGATGCCGGTACACTGCTATCTACCGGCAAAGTATGGTTTAAAGCAAGCTACCTCGAGGAGGCAAATAAAATATGATTGCAAGAACCCACGTGTAAGACGCCTCGACAAATCTGGCCCAGTTTCGACAAGAAAAGATCCGATCCACTCATTCGGCTAGAGCGTCTTCTAAGTACTTAGACAACTGACCGGAATGATAACGAGCCACTGCTTGATGAGAAGGCATGCTGCCAGAATGACAACTGCCGCAGCTGTCACATCAAGGAAGAAATTGAGACTTTCAAACACTAGCTCTATTACTGCGCTACCCAATCGTGGGCAAGAAGACGCTCATTTAACCATTACCTCTTTGTCTTTCTGGCGGACATAAGTGACGCAGGCTTTCGTGAATTCTCGCGCTTTACTGACCTACAAGCACTTCTATGTGGGTGAATGGAAGGGATCGACTGCGAGATCAGAATTGGTACTACATTGGGGCCGCTGGGCCTAAGTGTGCGCCCCTCCTACATTCAAGTATATTAAAAGCAAGCAGACACTTCAACCTTATCTAACCTAAGCTGCTCTTAAGGAATACACTCAAAGTTCCTAAACAATTGGAGGGGTTTTCTTAACAACACTCTAACCATATCAATCCCTTGGCGAATCCAGTTTGTCCTGCTAAACAAGGTCTAGCCTGTACAGATATTTGTAAAAGTCGCCCTCAAGTAGGCCGAAATCCCCATAAGTCATAAATTAAAATTATACAAGAACCCTTCTACAAGCTCCAAAAAGTAAATTTTACATCGCCATTGAAAGCTAACCGCATCAAGTCTGTTATTTTCCGATTACAATAATTTTAAATTTACGTCCACAATTTAATGAGCCGCATACCCATAAAATTTACTTCAATAATCTCATAGGTCATTAGTTTTCACAAAAGATTTCCTTTGCTCTGCAGTAAGCGTTTACTAGGACGGCATTTTCGCACATTCAACCTTTCCTAACACGCCCGTACAAATATGTAGTAGTATTGTAAATCAATAACCATAAGCATATTTCTTAATACATTTCACTAATCGCTCATGCCAATCACCCACCAACCACTTACGGGTACATATACATATATGCAGTTACAATATTTTTCTACGCCCGCTTTCGGCCTTCATACCTTGGCAAGTATGTACTATGTATGTAAGTGGAATAAGTATTTCTTTTACATGAACTTAACCCAGATGTGCCAATGCACAATGACCTCGACAGTGGCACCACAATCGAATTGTGGCACCAGCAATTGGCAACAAACATTGCTGCCGCCACAAAAACCAAATGAAATATCATAAAAAAACAAACGAAAATAAAACCACTGCTAACCAAAAAAAAAAAAAAAAAACAAAAACAAACCGGGTAATAATCTACATTCTGGTCTGTCGTTTTGGACCTGTTTTGCCGCCCCTGAACTTAACCATGGCGCAGCTCAAGCTCAAGCACAACAAACACTGACTTGACAAACCGGGTGGGGCCGATTGGTGGGTGCAGTGTTGGACCGTTTGGCTGTGGTCGGCAGATGTCACAAGGGTTGACATTCGAGGCAAATGCTAAGCGGTATCGAATAATGTCAAGTGCATATACTATATATGTATGTATATTTATTTTGAGCAAAAGTATGTGGGTGTGTGTGTGTGGAGATGCGTTTGGCTTTTTGCACGGCCGCAAGGTTATGCACAAAAAATAGCATCAAATAGAACTAAAATAATCCAAAGAGCCATTGGTTTGCGCCAATAGATATATTTAAATATTTATGCATGTACAGTAGTGAGGAAGAAAATGGCAGTACGATAGTACTGATGTCGGTACATCTGGTATGCTATAGATATGTACATATGTGTTCAGAACAGCCAGCTCCAACGATCTGGCATTAGCTGTTCCAAGAGGTCCATTTCACAAAGAGCCACTATTTTTGATCTACATAATAAATTACAGAGCAGTTTGTGAAGACTTGATGTCGTCTGAAATTTGTTTAACTAAAGCTTGGATTTGTCTGTATTACCCCGAAGAGCTCATAGCAATCCGGCTGTGACAATTTTACCTTGTTAGAGTCATCTACCTTCACAGCGACACTTCTTGTAAAAAGAAAGCTCATCGGGGACTATAATCCGGTAGAGAGGCAGTTAGTCCTATTCCAATTCAATCTCCTGTATCTCCGGTCTGTCGTTGTGCGATTCGAAGGAGTACTAAATTTTAGGTATTTAATTCTCGATAACCATTCGACGATTAGGGCTTCCCCCTTCTACGCTCAAAGCTAGTAGAGAGAAAGTAGTACGCAGATAGTCCAGGAAAATCTTTCCAGCCTTTATAACTAGGATACAATATAAAGCAAAAAATAAGAGCTAATCTCTCCTAGTTATAAAGGCTGGAAAGACTTTCCTGGACTATTAGCGTATTACTTTTAGACAGATATGTCTTATGTCAGTTCACCTAGCTGTGGGCGCAAATCAAGCTATGTGCGAGCGCAAGATTTTTCTGGCCAAGGCTGAGAGGTTGAGTTCTATCTCGGTCTGGTCCAGCAGATGGTGTATTCTCATTCCTAAGACAGCCGGTTCCACATGCTCAAGTTTTTTCTGACTGTTGTTAAGATCGGTGGACCTAATTTTTTCACTTCATTTTTCCTGATTTACTTACTTGTAATCGAAAATACTTCGAACTTATTTCACCCTATTAATTTCTAAATTAAAGCTATATCAATTTTTAGTATTCACTTAGGGCCAGTTTTTCAGTTTGAGTTTAAGGCCGCTTCATAGTTTAGTTGTTTTGCAGGGCAACAATGTTTTTTCTTTATGCAGATACAAAACTACAGCTATTTACATATTTTCACTTTTGCTACGACCGCATTTGAAGTACTGAAAAATTGTAGACAGAAATTTAAAAATTTGTTCATGTGTTGCGCATCCGTATTGCCTTATGCAAAAAATTAGCAGTTGTTAATTTTCTGGTGCATAATTTTCATCTTACGTATGAAAATTTTACATTTCGTGTATTTCGCAAACAAGTTTAATTTTTTTCCTCCCCTTTCATCTAAATTTTGATACTTGACTACAAATGCGCAAGTTAACAGCTGATAGTTTGATAGTGATAGTTAACAGCCAGTTTGAGGGTTTAAACTTAGTTTAAACTACGTTTACATTTGACTGAAAAGCTGCACACTGAGTTTAAACTTAGTTTAAATAACAAACAGAGTTAAAGTCCCACTGAAAAACCGGCGCTTAGTAGTTGGGCTTAATTGTTAGTAGACAAAGTAGGATTATTTCCTATGCAATTTTTATACTCCAAAGTGTATGCTTAAAAGATTAATATATATAGGATTCCAACTAAAGCTCAACGTGAGTTATTATAAGTTAACGCAAACGCTGCTACAGTTTTAGTGCCGTTTTCTGAAGTAAGCTTTAACTTTAAAGCTCACTTTATATTTAAAGGTTGGATTAAAAATAAAGCTATGTCTAAAGTTTAGCATTTCTATTATCAGTTTTTGACTTAATTTTAATGCAACTTTTAAATACAAAGTGAGCTTTAAAGTTACAAATTACTTGAGAAAACGGCTCTTATTCTAATGGGAAATTTTGATATCGCATCAAATGGCAGCACATCTTCTGTCGAATGTCGTGAACTCAATCAAATTTCTATTCGAGTTACTTTCGATATCGAATGCCGCAAGTCGGGCACAGGTTCCTATCAAATATTCCTACTTGAATGAATATTAGGGTGCATCACTCTACATACAAAAAAAAAAATCGATTTGGTTTTTCCATCGGAACTATGCCATTTATTATATTTTAAGACAGCCGCCAAACTATTTCGGAAAAATAACAAGATTAACTTGAACTGAGTCGATTTGAAAATATCTCCAAAAATCAAGTTTTTCATATTTAAAAATTCTTTTTTAAAAAAATGTTTTAAAAAAAATCACCCAGAAGGTTTGTGCGTATGAGCTCACAAGGTCTGCATAAAAATGCTTAAAAATTTCATCAACGAAATAAAAATAATGACATTTTCGGAAGTACAGTGGTCGTCCAGTATAACGAATGCCTATATAACGAACGCTCCAAATAACGAATGCCTTTTCAAATGTATTGATTACTCTAAATAACGAACGGTTGAAAAAAGTAGTATTCTATATAACGAACGCTTGTTTACTTTATGTGCTTGAATGACATGATTTTGCATGATCTGTGGGTACGTGGAATTACCGTCAGTTCAAAAGAATAACTTCTCACAAGTGGTCGCGTTTATTGAACTGGAAAAATACCCCCGCCGCGTTAACGTTTGTTATTTATTAGGTGAAAAAAAAAAAAACACACACACACACACACACATTAAGGGAAATTGGAAAATGGGGCTCACAATAAAATTTTAGTTCGATTTAACGCACTTTTCGAAATAGCGTGTCGTAACCCAGACATTTTATCATTCGTTATACTGGATAACCAGTGTAATCTCAAATTGCTCCCGCTCACGTGATTCTTAGTTTGTTTTTTCCGAAATTTTTTGGCGTAAGTCTACAAGTACGTATGTATGTATAATAAATTTTATAATTCCGTTAGAAAAACAGTAACTTTTTTTTGGCGAGCCACCCTAATGTATATGTAATTATGTGTACATTACACTTACCTTATTCGAAATACCGTTGAGCAGCTCATTACTATTCCCCAGCACTGTTAGAAATTTCGACTTCAATATTCCAATACCCGGAGTGCGTCCCATAAAGCTTTTGATTTTAGAGCGTTCGCCACCCGGTGGTGTAGGCGGGCAAGTATTTAAGTCGACCATTGTTTTGTTGTTGTTGTTGTTGTTGTTGTTGTTGTTTATTGTTGCTGTTGGCGCTTATGCTTTTCTACACACACTCTTTTAACTCACTCCAGTCACACTGCACTTAATTAATTGATCATACGCCGTGTGTGTGACCTTGTGCTGCATACTAACAGGCGCGTAAATATGTAACTACTACATAATACATGAATCCACATATGCAGCAATGCATGCATGTACATACATATGTATGTATGTATGTAGGTGTGCGTATGCTTTCGAATTACTTATGCGTCGAGTAGATAAAATGGACAAAATTTTCGTAAATATACTGCATGCGTACGAGTAAGTTAATACTATTTATTTATTTCTTAATTTATTTATTTTATTTAGCTATCAAACGCACAACAGCCAACACGTTTGGTCAGCTGGACACTTCCATATGGTAAATTCGCTTCAACTGCTCAGAATTTCTATAATAATATTATTGGCTTTGAAGTGTAGGTAACGGTAGGCGGTATGAGTACTCAAAAGGGCGGTACCCAGCATGCATGCGGCTGCAGAGGCCTGCCACGGCGATCCCCCACACACACACACCTAAACGCACTATTAACGCTTAGTTACTGTTTTTTTTTTTTGTGGGCCAGCAGCAGCAGCAGCACTGTAGGGTTCTTTATTGTTGATGTTGTATCGATTTTTTCCGCTGCAGCTACATATACATATGTATGTATGTATGTATGTACATATATGTATGTACATAAGTATGTGTTACTAAGTCTTTGCGAATTTTTCAGCAGCGCCTGTGTTAAAGCTTCTACTGCGGCACACGCTCTGAAAATTCGTTAAAAGTGCTGTTGAGTCGAATCTCCTTTTAGTTTTCTTGCCTATCTGCCAATTCTTTGAAGGTTATAATTTGGCAAGCAATGGTCACACGCCTACCAAGGTTGTACAACTGCTGCGTTGGGTGTAATAGAAAAATTAAACGCTGCTGGAATGTAAGCGAATAGAAGAGCAGAGAGAGTGTACTTTAATTAACACATAGCCCAAAGGGGCGTACCACTGCAAGACGTTTGGAAAGCGAAAAAATGCAAGCAAGCAAACTCACCCGATCGAAGCATGGAATTTTGTTGTAAATTTGTATTGCTTTCTTGTGCACCGCAGTATATTCATTGCATTCATTTATTATTAAAAATTTGTTTCTCATTCATTTTTTATTGCATACTGATAACCAAGGCACTTTTTAATAACAATTTTATTTTCAATTTTTTGCTAACATCACATTTTCACAAATTTGTAACCTTTCACACAATGCTGAGTACTGTCTTGCATGCGAGCTCTTCTCCATTTGCTTTTTGCACTATGACTGCTGCAGCTTTCGCACAACTCACTGTTGCAACAGCACTGACAACCATTCGCCGCCGCTGACAAGGCTAAGCTGACTTCAGCCGCTTCGCAGGGCAGACATATCGTATTTTATCGACGAAGCTTTGTGATGTATGCAGGGTTGCCACTTTGGTAAATTGTTACCACAATTGGTAGAAAAAATTTGGGTTGGTAAAAGGTTAAATCTTTTCTCATTTTGGTCGATTTTTGTTGAAGTATTTTGTTTGAAAAACAATGAAAACTTTTCGTTCCCGCTTTATTTTTCGTAGTTATCTTTATAATATAAATTTCTTTCCAAAAGTGTAGTCTACTTTGCTGCGTTTATTTTCGATCGCTTTAATGCACACTTTTTATATAAAAGGCGAACATATCGTGCTCCACTCAAAACTCATTTTACTTGAGTCCTGAGGAGCTTTTAATGGCCTAGATATTTTTTGACGATTCTTTAGATAAAGGGCAAAAATGGGCAGGTATGTAATTAAACACTTATGATTGTTGGCAAAAAATTCAAAAATCAACGCCATTTTTTATCAACGGAAATTGTTATATGAAACAAAAAACGGCAAAAGACCGGAGTCAAACAAAAATTAAAAAAAAATTTTGGGTAATTTTTTGCCGCACATTGTTGGTTATACTAATACCATGGGCTACAAAACTCCATACCTTAAATTGTTCTAAAAATTCAGAGTAAAAAGTTCGAAGTCTAGGCGATTTTTTTTTTTAATTTTTCTAAGTGTTGTATATGGCTTGAATCCTCGATTTTTTATGGGTTTGGTTAAAGCACAAACAATATTCTTATACACAAAATAAAAATAAAAATAAAAAATTCCAAAAAATTTCTACTTGAAAAATATTGTGAATATTAAAAAAACACCAAGCAGT